GGAAGGAACTGAGGGAGGAAGGAATTGAGGGAGGAACTGAGGGAGGAACTGAGGGAGGGACTGAGGGAGGAACTGAGGGAGGAACTGAGGGAGGAACTGAGGGAGGAACTGAGGGAGGGACTGAGGGAGGAACTGAGGGAGGAACTGAGGGAGGAACTGAGGGAGGAACTGAGGGAGGAACTGAGGGAGGAACTGAGGGAGGAACTGAGGGAGGAACTGAGGGAGGGACTGAGGGAGGAACTGAGGGAGGAACTGAGGGAGGAAGGAACTGAGGGAGGAACTGAGGGAGGAACTGAGGGAGGGACTGAGGGAGGAACTGAGGGAGGAACTGAGGGAGGAACTGAGGGAGGAACTGAGGGAGGAACTGAGGGAGGAACTGAGGGAGGAACTGAGGGAGGAACTGAGGGAGGAACTGAGGGAGGAACTGAGGGAGGAACTGAGGGAGGAACTGAGGGAGGAACTGAGGGAGGAACTGAGGGAGGAACTGAGGGAGGAACTGAGGGAGGAAGGAACTGAGGGAGGAACTGAGGGAGGAACTGAGGGAGGAACTGAGGGAGGGACTGAGGGAGGAACTGAGGGAGGAACTGAGGGAGGAACTGATAGAGGAAGGAACTGAGGGAGGAAGGAACTGAGGGAGGAACTGAGGGAGGAACTGAGGGAGGAACTGAGGGAGGGACTGAGGGAGGAACTGAGGGAGGAACTGAGGGAGGATGGAACTTAGGGAGGAACTGAGGGAGGAAGGAACTGAGGGAGGAACTGAGGGAGGAACTGAGGGAGGAAGGAACTGAGGGAGGAACTGAGGGAGGAACTGAGGGAGGAACTGAGGGAGGGACTGAGGGAGGAACTGAGGGAGGAACTGAGGGAGGGAGGAACTGAGGGAGGAACTGAGGGAGGAACTGAGGGAGGAAGGAACTGAGGGAGGAACTGAGGGAGGAACTGAGGGAGGAACTGAGGGAGGAACTGAGGGAGGAAGGAACTGAGGGAGGAACTGAGGGAGGAAGGAACTGAGGGAGGAACTGAGGGAGGAACTGAGGGAGGAAGGAACTGAGGGAGGAAGGAACTGAGGGAGGAACTGAGGGAGGAACTGAGGGAGGAACTGAGGGAGGGACTGAGGGAGGAACTGAGGGAGGAACTGAGGGAGGGACTGAGGGAGGAACTGAGGGAGGAACTGAGGGAGGGACTGAGGGAGGAACTGAGGGAGGAACTGAGGGAGGAAGGAACTGAGGGAGGAACTGAGGGAGGAACTGAGGGAGGGACTGAGGGAGGAACTGAGGGAGGAACTGAGGGAGGGAGGAACTGAGGGAGGAACTGAGGGAGGAACTGAGGGAGGAAGGAACTGAGGGAGGAAGGAACTGAGGGAGGAACTGAGGGAGGAACTGAGGGAGGAACTGAGGGAGGGACTGAGGGAGGAACTGAGGGAGGAACTGAGGGAGGAACTGAGGGAGGAACTGAGGGAGGGACTGAGGGAGGAACTGAGGGAGGAACTGAGGGAGGAAGGAACTGAGGGAGGAACTGAGGGAGGAACTGAGGGAGGAACTGAGGGAGGGACTGAGGGAGGAACTGAGGGAGGAACTGAGGGAGGAAGGAACTGAGGGAGGAACTGAGGGAGGAAGGAACTGAGGGAGGAACTGAGGGAGGAACTGAGGGAGGGACTGAGGGAGGAACTGAGGGAGGAACTGAGGGAGGAACCAAGGGAGGAAGGAACTGAGGGAGGAAGGAACTGAGGGAGGAACTGAGGGAGGAACTGAGGGAGGGACTGAGGGAGGAACTGAGGGAGGAACTGAGGGAGGAACTGAGGGAGGAACTGAGGGAGGAAGGAACTGAGGGAGGAAGGAACTGAGGGAGGAACTGAGGGAGGAACTGAGGGAGGAAGGAACTGAGGGAGGAAGGAACTGAGGGAGGAACTGAGGGAGGAACTGAGGGAGGAACTGAGGGAGGAACTGAGGGAGGAACTGAGGGAGGAACTGAGGGAGGAACTGAGGGAGGAACTGAGGGAGGAACTGAGGGAGGAAGGAACTGAGGGAGGAACTGAGGGAGGAACTGAGGGAGGAACTGAGGGAGGGACTGAGGGAGGAACTGAGGGAGGAACTGAGGGAGGAACTGATAGAGGAAGGAACTGAGGGAGGAAGGAACTGAGGGAGGAACTGAGGGAGGAACTGAGGGAGGGACTGAGGGAGGAACTGAGGGAGGAACTGAGGGAGGATGGAACTTAGGGAGGAACTGAGGGAGGAACTGAGGGAGGAACTGAGGGAGGAACTGAGGGAGGAACTGAGGGAGGAACTGAGGGAGGAACTGAGGGAGGAACTGAGGGAGGAAGGAACTGAGGGAGGAACTGAGGGAGGAACTGAGGGAGGAACTGAGGGAGGAAGGAACTGAGGGAGGAACTGAGGGAGGAAGGAACTGAGGGAGGAACTGAGGGAGGAACTGAGGGAGGGACTGAGGGAGGAACTGAGGGAGGAACTGAGGGAGGAACTGAGGGAGGAACTGAGGGAGGAAGGAACTGAGGGAGGAAGGAACTGAGGGAGGAACTGAGGGAGGAACTGAGGGAGGAACTGAGGGAGGGACTGAGGGAGGAACTGAGGGAGGAACTGAGGGAGGAACTGAGGGAGGGACTGAGGGAGGAACTGAGGGAGGAACTGAGGGAGGAAGGAACTGAGGGAGGAACTGAGGGAGGAACTGAGGGAGGGACTGAGGGAGGAACTGAGGGAGGAACTGAGGGAGGAAGGAACTGAGGGAGGAACTGAGGGAGGAAGGAACTGAGGGAGGAACTGAGGGAGGAAGGAACTGAGGGAGGAACTGAGGGAGGGAGGAACTGAGGGAGGAACTGAGGGAGGGACTGAGGGAGGAACTGAGGGAGGAACTGAGGGAGGAAGGAACTGAGGGAGGAACTGAGGGAGGAAGGAACTGAGGGAGGAACTGAGGGAGGAACTGAGGGAGGAACTGAGGGAGGAAGGAACTGAGGGAGGAACTGAGGGAGGAACTGAGGGAGGGACTGAGGGAGGAACTGAGGGAGGAACTGAGGGAGGGAGGAACTGAGGGAGGAACTGAGGGAGGAACTGAGGGAGGAAGGAACTGAGGGAGGAACTGAGGGAGGAAGGAACTGAGGGAGGAAGGAACTGAGGGAGGAACTGAGGGAGGAACTGAGGGAGGGACTGAGGGAGGAACTGAGGGAGGGACTGAGGGAGGAACTGAGGGAGGAACTGAGGGAGGAACTGAGGGAGGGACTGAGGGAGGAACTGAGGGAGGAACTGAGGGAGGGAGGAACTGAGGGAGGAACTGAGGGAGGAACTGAGGGAGGAACTGAGGGAGGAACTGAGGGAGGAAGGAACTGAGGGAGGAAGGAACTGAGGGAGGAACTGAGGGAGGAACTGAGGGAGGGACTGAGGGAGGAACTGAGGGAGGAACTGAGGGAGGAACTGAGGGAGGAACTGAGGGAGGAACTGAGGGAGGAACTGAGGGAGGAACTGAGGGAGGAACTGAGGGAGGAACTGAGGGAGGGACTGAGGGAGGAACTGAGGGAGGAACTGAGGGAGGAAGGAACTGAGGGAGGAACTGAGGGAGGAACTGAGGGAGGAACTGAGGGAGGAACTGAGGGAGGAACTGAGGGAGGAACTGAGGGAGGAACTGAGGGAGGGACTGAGGGAGGAACTGAGGGAGGAACTGAGGGAGGAAGGAACTGAGGGAGGAACTGAGGGAGGAACTGAGGGAGGAAGGAACTGAGGGAGGAACTGAGGGAGGGAGGAACTGAGGGAGGAACTGAGGGAGGAACTGAGGGAGGAACTGAGGGAGGAACTGAGGGAGGAACTGAGGGAGGAACTGAGGGAGGGACTGAGGGAGGAACTGAGGGAGGAACTGAGGGAGGAAGGAACTGAGGGAGGAAGGAATTAGGGAGGAACTGAGGGAGGGACTGAGGGAGGAACTGAGGGAGGAACTGAGGGAGGAAGGAACTGAGGGAGGAACTGAGGGAGGAACTGAGGGAGGAAGGAACTGAGGGAGGAAGGAACTGAGGGAGGAACTGAGGGAGGAACTGAGGGAGGAAGGAACTGAGGGAGGAACTGAGGGAGGAACTGAGGGAGGAACTGAGGGAGGAAGGAACTGAGGGAGGAACTGAGGGAGGAACTGAGGGAGGGACTGAGGGAGGAACTGAGGGAGGAACTGAGGGAGGAAGGAACTGAGGGAGGAACTGAGGGAGGAAGGAACTGAGGGAGGAACTGAGGGAGGAACTGAGGGAGGAACTGAGGGAGGAAGGAACTGAGGGAGGAACTGAGGGAGGAACTGAGGGAGGAAGGAACTGAGGGAGGAAGGAATTGAGGGAGGAACTGACGGAGGAACTGAGGGAGAAATTGAGGGAGGAACTGAGGGAGGGACTGAGGGAGGAACTGAGGGAGGAACTGAGGGAGGAAGGAACTGAGGGAGGAACTGAGGGAGGAAGGAACTGAGGGAGGAACTGAGGGAGGAACTGAGGGAGGAACTGAGGGAGGAACTGAGGGAGGGACTGAGGGAGGAACTGAGGGAGGAACTGAGGGAGGAACTGAGGGAGGAACTGAGGGAGGAACTGAGGGAGGAACTGAGGGAGGAAGGAACTGAGGGAGGAACTGAGGGAGGAACTGAGGGAGGAAGGAACTGAGGGAGGAAGGAATTGAGGGAGGAACTGAGGGAGGAACTGAGGGAGGGACTGAGGGAGGAACTGAGGGAGGAACTGAGGGAGGAACTGAGGGAGGAACTGAGGGAGGGACTGAGGGAGGAACTGAGGGAGGAACTGAGGGAGGAACTGAGGGAGGAACTGAGGGAGGAACTGAGGGAGGAACTGAGGGAGGAACTGAGGGAGGAACTGAGGGAGGGACTGAGGGAGGAAGCAGAGGGGGCAGGTGTGCCTGACTACATCCTCACCACCAAGGACGTCGCTGCTAGACTGGTGAGAGGGGGAGAAGGGACAGGGCGAGGGACAGAAGGTGCATGGTGCAAAACTGATACAGATTGGAGGCAGAAACTCCAGCGTCATGGACAGGGTTAGGGGCAGAATGAGCAGGGGAAAAGAGAAAGGAGGTTGGGTGGGACAGGGGCAAGGGAAGGTGTGAAGTAGGGAGGGCAAGTGTGTTGTGTGCTCTCTCACCGTCTCACACGACCTGCTATCTGTCTGCCCCCTTTCTCCTTCCTTCCCCCCCCATCAGCTGCCCCATCTCAAGGCGGCAATCGATCAGTTCTACGGCACAAACCCCGCTCTCTGCCCGGACCTCGCTCATCTCTTTTCTGTCTGACCCTGTGCTCTGTCTCCCCCCCATCAGCTGCCCCATCTCAAGGCAGCAATCGAGCAGTTTTACGGCACAAACCCCGCTCTCTGCCCGGACCTTGCACGCATCATCAACACCTCCCACGTGCACCGCCTGCAGAAGCTTCTCCAGCACCCTGCCACCGCCTCCTGTGTCGTGCACGGGGGGCAGAGCGACGTTGAGTCAAGGTGAGATCAATGTGATTCCACACAGGTGACCATCAGCCTCCCACATGCACCGCCTGCAGAAGCTTCTCCAGCACCCCGCCACCGCCTCCTGTGTCGTGCATGGGGGGCAGAGCGACGTTGAGTCAAGGTGAGTCAGAAGAGTCAATGAGGGCCAACGCTGGTCACTCTTTAAGCCTGCAGAAGCTGCTCCAGCACCCTGCTACCGCCTCCTGTGTCGTGCATGGGGGGCAGAGCGACATCAAGGTGAGTCAACTTGAGCCAACGTGAGTCAATGTGAGTGAAGGCGACTCAACGCCTCCCACGTGCACCACCTGCAGCAGCTGCTCGAGCACCCCGCCACTGCCTCCTGTGTCGTGCATGGGGGGCAGAGCTCACGGTGAGTCAATGTAAATCAATGATTCCACACAGGTGACCCTTAGCCTCCCACGTGCCCTACCTGCAGAAGCTTCTCCAGCACCCTGCCACCGCCTCCTGTTTTGTGCACGGGGGGCAGAGCGACGTTGAATCGAGGTGATTCATTACAAGTCAATGCAAGACAGCGCTGCACAGTGCAGTTTCTCAGTTTTGCCTCCCACTTGCCATTTTTCAAGAGAATGAAACAAAGAGCACCCACGCCTCCTAACTCCACCTCCATTCGCACACTCTTGCCACCCTCCCCCTTATTTTCCCCTCTCTCCTCCATTTCCCCGCCCCCTCAGATACTTCGCCCCAACGCTGCTGCTCAATGTGCCCTGGGATGCCACCCTTCGATTCTACTGTAATAAAAGGCAACATTTTCCCCCTTTGTGTTTTCAACCGTCCCAACCATCCCTCCCCCTTCTTCCCCCCCAACCCCACCAACCCCCAGGTACTTCGCCCCAACACTGCTACTCAACGTGCCCTGGGATGCCCCCATCATGCAGTCCGAGGTTTTTGGACCCATCCTAGCCATCCAAACTGTGAGACCCCTCATCCTGACCGTCTATTCCCCAGGCTCATCTTCTTCTTTCTCCGTGACCATCAACCACAAGTCCCATGGCCTCCTGCTCCGGCTCCCACTGCCCCTCCACTCACCTGCACCTATGCACCTCTGGACGCATCACCAGCACCAACTTTTCGCTCTCTGCCGCTACCTCACTCCCTCACCCCCATCAGGTGTCGGGAATCCACGAGGCCATTGACATCATCAACGCGCGCCCCAAGCCGCCGAGCCCCCAGTGATAGTTGTTTGCTGTCCGCCTGTACTGTACTGCTACACCCCTCCCTCACCCCCATCAGGTGTCAGGAATCCACGAGGCCATTGACATCATCAACGCGCGCCCCAAGCCGCCGAGCCCCCAGTGATAGTTGTTTGCTGTCCGCCTGTACTGTACTGCTACACCCCTCCCTCACCCCCATCAGGTGTCAGGAATCCACGAGGCCATTGACATCATCAACGCGCGCCCCAAGCCGCCGAGCCCCCAGTGATAGTTGTTTGCTGTCCGCCTGTACTGTACTGCTACACCCCTCCCTCACCCCCATCAGGTGTCAGGAATCCACGAGGCCATTGACATCATCAACGCGCGCCCCAAGCCGCCGAGCCCCCAGTGATAGTTGTTTGCTGTCCGCCTGTACTGTACTGCTACACCCCTCCCTCACCCCCATCAGGTGTCAGGAATCCACGAGGCCATTGACATCATCAACGCGCGCCCCAAGCCGCCGAGCCCCCAGTGATAGTTGTTTGCTGTCCGCCTGTACTGTACTGCTACACCCCTCCCTCACCCCCATCAGGTGTCAGGAATCCACGAGGCCATTGACATCATCAACGCGCGCCCCAAGCCGCTGACTGACCCTCCACCAGTAGTCATTTTCTGTCTGCCCGTGTGCTTTCTCTGCCCTGCATTCCCCTCTCTCCCCCCATCAGGTGTCGGGAATCGACGAGGCGATTGACATCATCAACGCGCGCCCCAAGCCGCTCGTGGTGATAGTCTTCTCGTCCCGGGAGGACACGCGGCAGCGCTTCGTCAAGGAGACCAGCTCAGGCGCTGTCGTGGCCAACGAGCTCATCCTGCAGGTGCTGTTGAGTTTATTGGTTGAGAGAGGGGTAGGGGGAGAAAGAGAGGCATGAGGTTAGTGAGGGTGTTCATTCTCGTTCTGGCAGCGCTTTCTCACGGCGACCAGCTCGCGCGCTGTCGTGGCCATTGGCCAACGAGCTCATCCTGCAGGTGTGGCGAGGGGAGGAGAGGGGGGGAGGGATTAGTGAGTGCGTTTGTGACGCCAGGGGGTGCTGAAGCAGTTTTCAAGGAGAGCAAGCTCGGGCGCTGTCGTGGCCAATGAGCTCATCCTGCAGGTGCGGTTACCAAATGGAAAGGGGGGGGGGGGGGGGGGGGGGGGGGGGTGGGGAGGAAGGGGAGGAGCTGTAAAAAATTCCACCAACCTCTCTCCCCCCCACCATCACCACTCCTTCCCACCCTTCCCAGGCGGGCAACATGGAGTTGCCATTCGGAGGAGTGGGGGACAGCGGCACGGGGCGGTACAAGGGGCGCTACTCCATCAACCTCCCCATGAAACCCTCTCCTATTCTTCACCACCCACTCCTTCCCCACCTCTCCTTCCCACCCTTCCCAGGCGGGCAACATGGAGTTGCCGTTTGGAGGAGTGGGGGACAGCGGCATGGGGCGGTACAAGGGGAGGTGGTCCATCGACTGCTTCAGCCACTGCAAGGCCGCCTACACCAAACCTCTCTCAGGGGACCTGGCAGCCCGCTTCCCTCCCAGCACGCGGCGAGGGGAGATGATTGTGAAGGCGGTGATCAAAGGCGCGTACTGGGCGCTGCTGCTGCTGCTTCTGGGGCTCAAGAAGCATTAAGGCTGCTGCAGGGCCTGTGTCTTAATGAGATGGCTCTAGAGGCGATCGGGAGATGATTGTGAAGGCAGTGATCAAAGGGGTGTATTGGACGCTGCTGCTGCTGCTGCTGCTGCTGCTGCTGGGGCTTAGAAGTGCTAAGAGTGCTAGCATTGGTGCAGGGCCTCTATGGGTAGGGTAGACCATAAGGCAACTTGTAACGGAAAGCCGGGCTCACTGAAAACCCCAAAAGCTACACACGTTCCTACCACTGCTAAACACTTCCTTGGTAGTACCCCGCAAAGACGTACCACCTCGTTGTCCGTATTCTTTGTGAAGAGCTGCATGCATACCTAAATGCATCCAATGGCGTGGAACATTGCCTTAAGGGTTTTGCCGTGCTGCTTCATAGTGCAGTCAACAATAAGGAGGGCAGCCCACCGTGCACACAGGAGAAGCCATGTACGCAAGAGCTAGTGTGGATCCTTCTACACTGGGCAGCCTTTAGACCGTGCGAGAATGTAACAACACAGTAGCAGCAATGCTACCGTACTCTATCCTACTGAGATACGGGCACCAGTGCTCCAGCGTTGGCTAAAATTGAGCACAGCAGCATGGGCAGCAGAAGCAATTGTAAACACAAACATACATGCAAGGCCCACGTTATCTATCTACACTCTAGGCAGTGTTCTGTATGCGCGAATGTGTTCTAGCGTAGGCAGCAGCCCGTGCTTGAGCACAGCAGCATGGGTGGCACGAAACCCATCGCCATACACGGGGGAGGCATCAATGGCGATGGAGTGCAGACAGAACAGCCCCTGCCTTCATCCTCTGCCAGCAGTCAACCTATGCTCTGGGCAGTGCTCTGTAAGCGCGGATGTGTTCTAGGGTAGGCAGCAGTCCATGTTTCAGCACAGCAGCATGGGCGGCACGAAACCCATCACCGTACACGGGGGAAGCATCAATGGCAATGGAGTGCAGGCAGAACGCTGCAAAGCGCTGCTGAAAGCTGCTGTGCGCCTCGTGAGCCAGTGGAGCAGCGGAGGAGGCTTGTTGTGATGGGGCGTGTGGGGACGGGGCTTGTGATGGGGCGTGTGGGGCTGGAGAGGCTTGGGTTTGCAGCCAGAGATATGCCATAACCTGGCACATGCCCTCCTCTAGCTCTGGGGGCAGATGGCGGAAGCCCCCTGCGGGTGTGGAAATATAAGGGAGAGGAGGGACACAGAAGCGACCTTGAAGCTAGCTCAGTGTGAAGGTGAGGGAGCCACGTGCAGGTGCAGTGGAGGCAGGGGAGGTGGGGATGATGGAGCGCTGTGCGATGTGATGGAGGGGGACGAGGGGATCCAGCTGACTGATGCATGCTGTGAGATAATGACAGAAGAAGTCTGTTGAGTATCACTTGAGTCATGGGGGAAAACTGTTGGCGCAATGAGGATGGCACGCGCAGTGGAGGGGGCACACGTACCGTCGAGCTTGAACCAGGCGTGCATGAGCTCATGTGCCAGAATGGACGCTGTCAGTACTCTGATGGGGAGTGCGAGGGGAGAGGAGGGAAGGGGGGGGGGACGGTGGGTTGGGGTAGAGGGGCAGACACACTCGTGCATGCGCTCATGTGCCAGAATCGACGCTGTCAGTACTCTGATGGGGAGTGGGAGGGGTAAGGCGGGAAGAGGGGGGGAGGGTGGGTTGGGGTAGAGGGGCAGACACACTCGTGCATGCGCTCATGCGCCAGAATGGACACTGTCAGTGCTCTGATGGGGTAAGGCGGGAAGAGGGGGGGAGGGTGGGTTGGGGTAGAGGGGCAGACACATGCGTGCATGAGGTCATGCGCCAGAATGGACACTGTTAACACTCTGATGGGGAGTGGGAGGGGTAGAGGGGCGGAAGAAGGCAGGGCGAGAAGAAGCAGGCAGGGGGTTGCTTTTGAAGGACAAGTGGAAGGGCAGACGCGCAGGCAGAGAGAGACTAGCACTGTGTACTTTGTTGCAGGCATGCCATGCACATTTGGGCAGCCCATAGAGCATGAGGATGGCGGTGACACTGTGGTCGGCTGCTGATGCACGGCTACCGGCTCTGCCATGCCATGCCATGCCATGCCATGCCATGAGTACCCCATGCAACATGCCATGCCATGAGTACCCCATGCAACATGCCATGCCATGAGTACCCCATGCAACATGCCATGCGCACCTGGGCAGCCCATAGAGCACGAGGATGTTGGTGACAGCGCAGTGGCGAGACACTGTCATGGTCTGGTCTGCTGGCCCACTGGCAGGTGCATGCAGTACCCTACCCGTGCATCCCATGCATCATCCCCTGCACCATGCCTACCTGGGCAGCCCATAGAGCGCACCTGGGCAGCCCATAGAGCACGAGGATAGCGGTGACAGCGCAGTGGCGGGACACTGTCATGGTCTGCTGGCCCAGTGCAGAGAAGGAGGAGGCGTGCGAGAGCGAGCCTGGCAAACGTACCACCTGATACACCGGGAGTAAGGGGTGAGGGGGGAGAGGTGCGTGAGTAAGCTGTTATGGCGGTGACAGCACAGTGGCGAGACATTGTCATGGTCTGCTGGCCCACTGCAGAGAAGGAGGAGGCGTGGGTGAGCGAGCCGGGCAGCCGAACCACCTGATTGCAGCAGGGTGGGTGGAACAATCAGCGGTAAGAGGAGTTTTGATATGCCTCAATGGAAGGCAAGGGCGAAACCAAGAACAGACTACCCGGTTTGCTCTACATAACGGGATGTGGGTGGGGAAAAGAGGAGAATGGACGGAAGGGGTCGCATTGTAGGAATGCTAGGACAAGGGTGGGGAAGGAAGAAGCTATGGTGCTGTGGTGCCTCAAGATTGCGAGCGCCACGGGTGGTAGAATGAGGGGTTGAAGAGAGGATAGAGTGACTCACCATTTGGATGGTCTGCTCTTCCGACAGGCAGAGACCTCTTGTGAGCGACCCGTGCTCATGGCCCTGATGGGAGTGGCGATGGTGGTGTTGGTGGGGGGGGAGGAGATGAGAGAGGAGGAGGAAAGGGGAGTAGGGGTGGATTGGAGGCAGGAATGACGCAGCAGGGTGAGGTGAGATGCACTGGGTGGCTGGGGATAGCAGCAGCGGAATGTGCTGCTACATTGGGATTCCTTATTGTGCCAGAGAGCATAAGGACCATGCTCTTAAGGAGCACAGCTGTGCATCTCATGCCTGGTGCCCATGGACCATCACCCCCCACTCACCTCCCTCTCCGCCCTCTAGGCATCATTCAATGCCGGCTGCTCCACTGCCAGAACCGGAATCTGCTGCTGCACTGGCATCCCCTGTTGTGCTAGAAAGCAGATATTTACCTGTGCATCACATGCCCGATCTACCATCACACCCACTCACCTCCCTTTCTGCCCTCTGGGCATCGTTCAACGCTTGCTGCTCCACTGCCAGCACCGGAATCTGCTGCCTCACTGGCATCCCCAGCTGGGCAAAGAAGGCGCTAACGGACGAAAACAGCGGGCGGCAGTCGGCGGAGTCTAGCACGGCGGAGTCAACGCAGTCAAGACAGAGATGCCGCCCGTCCGGCAGGTCGATGAAGGGCGGGGCACCGCGGGACTGTAAGCCAAGGTAAGGGGATCGGTAGGGAAGAGGGGGAGCATATATTAGTCAAGACAGAGATGCCGCCCGTCCGGCAGGTCGATGAAGGGCGGGGCACTGCGGGACTGCAAGAGCAGGGAAGCGGGGAAGCCAAACACAACAGAGTCGTGCAAGGAGCCAGATGTTAGGGGGTGGAAGTGAGGTAGGGAGAACATACATGGCCAGGTGGAACAGGCGCAGGTGGCGCTGAGGCAGTGGAACAGAAGCAGCAACTGCGCAGTATCAGCACCTCGCCCTCACCTGCAGGCGGCAGCAGGAGGTGCAGGAGGGAGTGCTGTCTGTCATGTGGGCGGGGCACCACTTGTCGCCCCAGAAGGGGTGCGAGCGGAAGTTGATCATGCCTGCTGGGTTCGGGCGGATCTGGAGTGGTGACGGGGCGAAAGAGAGAAGGGGGGAAAGAGGTTGGGGAGGGGTCTCGCGAGCTGAGAATAAAGAGGACATTTGTGTGGGTTCTGATAGCCGTAATGGTAGCATTGCAAGGTGACTCTGAAGTGGCTTCTCCCTCGACGTGCTTCGTAACCAGGAAGCAAGAGGTACGAGCGTGTACTCACGAAGTCCTGGCAGACGGCGCACTTGGGGTGGAAAAGGTGGCGGTGGCATGCTGCATGGTAGGGGCATTGCTCCTCGTGGCTGCACCCTCTACTCTCCAACACACTGCTACACCAGGAACCAACATCTAAGATAAAGGACTCACAAAGTCCTGGCACACGGCGCACTTGGGGTGGAAGAGCTGTGTTCTGAGTCGATCCAAAACACCCTCCACTCCCCCCACAAGTCAACCAGAAAGCGAGAGGTAGGCTGAAGGACTCACGAAGTCCTGGCAGACGGCACACTTGGGGTGGAAGAGCTGGCGGTGGCATGCTGCATGGTAGGGCTTGCCGTCCTTGATGTTGAACTGGTGGGGGGTGGGGAGACAGGGGAAGGGGCGAACGGCACGAGGCACATGGCATGATGGCATGAAGGCATAAGGCATGCTGCATGGCATGGATTGCCGTGGCTGATGTTGAAATGGGGGTAAATTGCGAGAAGAAGGGAGGAGGTAGCGACACAAGGCGTGATGGTGTGATGGCATGATGGCATGGCGTGCTGCCCTTTAGAGGAGCGGTGTGCGTGTCTCAGATGCAGATTACATCTCCCCCACATCACACTCACAACAAAACCATTTTGCGACATACCTGTTTCTCTGAGATGGTCTGCTTGCATCCGTGGCAAGTGAAGCAGTGTGGGTGCCACAATCCCCCCATGGACGAGAGAGCAGGGGAGAACCCCAGAGACCCATGGCACCCCGCACACACGGGCGGCAGCAGCGCCGACCACACAGGGTGCTGATGCCCTCCCCCCACCACCCTCCCTGCTCCTGCGCCGCCCGCCCCACCGCTGCGCACAGTGCTGCTGCTGCTGTTGTTGCTGCCGGCAGGAGGTGCTGCAGGCGAATGCGAGAGCCCGCCCTGGGGAAACCGGGAGGGATGAGTGAGGGGAGGGAAAGGGCCGTGGGATGATAAGGTGGAGAAGGTCAGTGTGGGCAAGAGGGGTTATCACTCCTCCCATCGCATCTCTAATCCTCCTCACATCATAATCTCCACAATTCATCTCCATCCAGTTTCACATCCCTTTAAATCCCTCACCTCCTCCATGCTCACCTCCCCCAGCCTCACCTTCCCCAAACCCACCTCTTCGAGGCTCAGCTCTTGCTGCAGCAGCCGGGCTATCTCCTCATCATTGCTGGTATCTGGTGGTGCTCCCTCACCACCTCCACCTCCGCCCCGCCCCACTCCGCCTGGCCCTGCTCTGTCTTGTCCCGCTCCTCCACCCATCCCCACATGCCGAGAACGCTCCGCACCAGCAGCAGCAGCTGCTGCTCCTGCTCCTGCTCGTGCTGCTGCTGTTGCTGACCAATGGCGATTCATGGCTTCCCGTTGCGCTGCAGCTGCCGCGGCTGCCGCTGCTGGTGTCCTGTCAGCACCCTGGGCTGCTCTAACAGCTGAAGAAGCAGCATGGCAAGGGATGGAGGGAGGGCGGGGATGAGCACATGCAGGGAGCAATCAGTCTGTGACATGTGCAGCCAGCCACTGGCAATGGCAAGACAAGCATACACACAGACCAGCATATACAGATGGACACACACGGATTCACACACACGGGTTGACACACACGGATGCACGCACATACACGCACCTTGAGATGCCTCCTCTGCCTCTCGTCTCGAAATCTCCAACGCTAGTTGAAGAGCCCTGTCCTCCTCCTCCTCATCCCCGCCCCTACGCACCGCCTCCCCCCTCCCCACTGCCTCCCCTCTCCCTGTGTTCCCGCCCCATCCTGCACCCTGCTGCTCTGTCTGCCTGCTCCTTCCTGGAGGCCAGCCCCCAGGAACCTGATGCTGTTGCTGCTGGTGCCTCGGAGCCGGCTGCTGCTGGTGGTTCGGAACCTGATGCTGTTGCCTCGGGACCTGCTGGTGGTGGTTCGGGACTTGATGCTGAAGGCTCGGCACCCATGGCTGATGGCTCGGCACGTGCTGCTGCTCCTGATAAAACAGACAAAGGGAGCATCGAGGGAGAAGCGAGAAGTAGAGTGAGAACAGGGGAGAATCAGCAGAGGAATAGACGTGTAAGTGGCAGCAAAACATAGGGTGGATGAGTGAGGCATGTGGGATGGAGTGGAGGCAGAGATGGGGTGAAGCGGGGAGAGCAAAAGCTGGGCTTTGCGTGTGTGGCTCACCTGCAAGGAGAGCCTGAGTGCTTCTTCCAACTGCCGCTGCTCCTCCTCCCTCAGCTGCTGCTCCCTCTGCTGCTGCAGCAGCGTTGGGTGCTGACTGGCCAAGGCTGGGGGCTGCGACGGAGATTAGAGATGAGGAGATGTGGGGTGGTATGACGAGAAAGTTCCTATCGATTTACGTTCATCACCTTCTCTCGAGGTCACCACATGAAATTCTTAATCGCATGGAAACGTACCTGATGGTGCAGAGATTGCGTCGAGCTGCTGCTGCGATTAGGCTCTTCTGAACCGCCTGCTACGGCCCTGCATGGACCAGGCGAGAGAAGCGGCAGGCTTAGCCAAGAAAGCCTTATGAATCTCCTATTCGTTTCCTATGCATGACGGGTCGGACAGCTTCAATAGAGCTGGCCTTTAGACGTGCTGGCCTTTATCGACCTAAAGATGCACCAATGATCCTAGCGGAAAACCGACGACGCTAGCGAATTCAGTTGAAGCAATTTGCGGAAATGGTTACCTGCGAAACCATGACGTCACGTTCCCGACGACGTTATCCATTCAGTCCCGAAATGTATACAGAACCTATTATTGCTCCTTAAACCGGTGTAAGCGGCTAGCGTCTACGACTGTTGCGGCAAAGTGGAGCTGAGACAATGTATAATACGATTCTCGCCGTCGCAGTTATATCAAGTAAGGCAAGCGGTCACCCTCATGTGCTCTACGTCGGAAGCTACCATCCTTTCCCTTCGTCTGTCTGCCGACTAAATGCTGCAGAGCTCAAATCTAGGTGTGGAGAGTGAATTCTAGGTGGACACGGCACCCAGAAGCTATGGGAAATAGTATAAATGAAATATGCAATGATGTTAATAATTCATCCGTATGCATAATGTTTGATGTTAAAATGCACACATATTAATACATGATACAAATGCGTGACAACTAACGATCCAAAAACTATGCTATCGCATCCCCTGCCTAGCATGGGGGGGAGCTAATAGCATAATCCTTGAACAATCAGCAGTCACATGAAACAACACAATCTGTGAACTCTAAAAAGATGGTCAACTCTATCATCTCCAGTTCAAGTGGGCTCCCGACAGGCGCGCCAATGAACCTTCTAATGAAATGATAGACCTGATTCACCTTTTTAAAATTCACAGACATGTATTGCTAATGCAATAATGGATGAATGCACACTCACACAAGCAAGCACATTCACAACAACAAGACACATGGATAGAAAAAAAAATGAGCCGAAAACCCAAGATTATACATAGAAGATGCAAAACAAAGTAAAAAGGCAATGGTAAATTCTTGTGCCAACTACGACTTTCCAGATTGGACTCGCCTTCCTGATCAGCAAGACTCCTGAGAACAAAAAAAAAAAAAAAAGATAACGAGAAAGGGAAGGTAGGGTCAAAATAACAGAAAACAAAGCACATCAAACAAAGCAGAAAACAGAAGCATAAAGCTGAAGTATAAAATGGAAGCAGAAAACCGAAGTAGAAAACCGAAGCAGAAAACCGAAGCAGAAAATTGAAGCAGCAAACCAAAGCAGTAAACATAATGAAGGCGGAAATGAGAGAGAATGAGAGAGAGAGAGAGAGAGAGAGAGAGAGAGAGAGAGAGAGAGAGAGAGAGAGAGAGAGAGAGAGAGAGAGAGAGAGAGAGAGAGAGAGAGAGAGAGAGAGACGAGAGAGAGAGAAGAGAGACAGAGATAGCGAAGGGAGAAATCATCGACTAAATAATGGAATCTAGAAACTGAAATAGAGAGAAAGATGGAAGCAAGGAATTGGAACTAGCGAAGAGAAAGCAGAGAAAGCACATGCAGGGGGAAAGAGAGAAACACGAGGTGGTGCAGAAACTACGAGGAACGAAGAATCGATGCAACTACGAACAAAAGATTGTTGCACCAAAGAATTTCGCTACTTTGAAGCATTCTAGTTGAAAAGATTGTGCAAAAAAGACAATCCAAGATTACAAGGTTGAGGATAAGGAAACAAAGATTGACGCAATAGTATGGATGCAGAAGAAAAGGAAGGGAAACAACTACTAGCAAGGAAACATAACGAAAGAAACGGAAAAACGGATGGAGAAAAGCAAGAACTCACCACGGCTGTTCTACATCCCTGAACGACGACGTTCTTGTAGCCCACGGCCGCGACAACAAGAACCACAGGCGCAAACGCAAAACGCAAAAGATGTAATAAGAATCAGAGAATCAGGTTGAGCGGTACTTGAATGGAAATGGAGGAGTCGTCAGTGTAAGGAAGGAGCAAAGGAGAAAACGAAATAGACAGATCTGGAAAGACATAGCCTAAATGAACTGGAGGTGAGAAGGTACACAAGAGAGTAAGCGTGAAGACTACGAAAGTAGGAACGCATGAAAAAGGAATAAAGAAAACAGACTAATGAGCAAGGAGGTGGAACTTAAAGTAGAGCACAAAAGAAAATTACGACCAGGAAAAGAAAAAACTAAATGAGAGAAGTGGCATAACTGAAAACGAAAGCGAACGAAACTATGTGAAGACGACTAGATACTTCCTCAAGCTCACTAAGATGCAATCTAGGAGATCAAGCAAATACCCATGCGGTGTCTTAGAGAGAAGCCAAGGTAAGAACAAGCCTCTGCTGGGGAGAAGTGTCAGAATCCCAAGGCGACGGAATCGCAGGGCCGCGGGCGACGGGATCGGGGGGCCGCGGGCGACGGGATCGCGGGGCCACGAGCGACGGGATCGGGGGGCCGCGGGCGACGGGATCGCGGGGCCGCGGGCGACGGGATCGGGGGGCCGCGGGCGACGGGATCGGGGGGACGCGGGCATCCCCCACGGGAGGAAACCGCCGCGCGCCTCGGGGCGCACGGCGGGGAGAAACCCGCCGCACGCCCCGAGCGCGCGGCAGGAAGGAGGCGTCGCGCGACCAGTAGAACAGCAGCGGAAGCATTTGGTGGTGGGCCCACCCACAGGATCGACCCAACAGGATCGTCCTGCTCTGATAGCATGTCATGAGAATTAGGCAAAAGAGGAATGAACTAGCAAGAATGGGGATACAAATAGCAAACCCTAGAAGGGTTGTACTCGCTACAGAGCACCCCACTACAGGCTAGAGCATAATATTCTGACAAGAAGAAACGAGCGAGAGGAAGCGAGCGAGAAGAAAAAGAACGAATGAAACCCTAAGGTGTGCTGACTTCGCCGCAAAGGACATCCATATCACAAATAAACCCGGCAGATCGGATCGGCTCATGTAGTGTAGTCGAGTAAGTTTGAGTTGGTGAATGTAAGGTCGTAGGTTCGATTCTTGCGGGCACCATGTTTTAACGATGTTTCTAAAGCCAACAAAACTATTATGTGTTACGTAAAGTGTTAACAGATATCTTAGCACAGTGGTTTTTACAACCCTTCCCGATCGTAAGGTCGCGGGTTCGATACCAAGCGTGCATAGTTATTTAAACTGAAAAATCACAGATGCTGAACACATATTTTATAATATGTTTAAGAATATTACAATCTATATTGATAATTTTACCAAACGCTTCGCAACCCTAAGACGATTTCGTCGCCTCTTGTTAGAAATTGTATTTCTTTATATAACTGCATATTAGTATAGCTAGTGTAGTATGTATTCTCTTGTTGGTGGTATACCCCTCCTGACCACCTTCCCTTGTTAAACTGTATTATGTTTGTAGGCTGTAGTGGGGTAGCCAATATGGGGTACAACCCCAACTAGGGTTTGCTACTTGTACCCAATTCTTCCATTCAATGCACCATTCTTGCCTAGTTCTTTTCACATGGTATTCAGAGCAGGAGGTCCCTAGGACCTACCGACCGTTTTTTTTTAAGGGCCCACCACCGCTCGCATGCGGTTACCACGCTACCCCGTGCCCTAGCCTCGTAGCGCCCTCGTGCGCCCTCGTTAGCGCCCTCGTGCGCCCTCGTTAGTGCCCTCGCGCGCCCTCGTTAGCGCCCTCGTGCGCCTCTCGTTAGCGCCCTCGCGCGCCCTCGCTAGCGCCCTCGCGCGCCCTTGTTAGCGCCCTCGTGCGCCTCTCGTTAGCGCCCTCGCGCGCCCCTCGCAGCGTCGCCCGCCCGCCGAGCCGCCCGCTCGCAGCGTCGCCCGCCCGCCCGCTGCCCGCTTCGCAGCGTCGCCCGCCCGCCGTGCTGCCCGCTCGCAGCGTCGCCCTCCCGCCTCGCTGCCCGCTTGCAGCGTCGCCCGCCCGCCCGCTGCCCGCTTCGCAGCCCGCCCGCCGCGCTGCCCGCTCGCAGCGTCGCCCGCCCGCCCGCTGCCCGCTTGCAGCGTCGCCCCTCCCCCGCCCCGCTGCCCGCTTCGCAGCCCGCCCGCCGCGCTGCACACGCTCGCCGCGTCGCCCGCCCGCCTCGCTGCCCGCTTGCAGCGTCGCCCGCCCGCCCGCTGCCCGCTTCGCAGCCCGCCCGCCGTGTTAAACTGTAGTATGCTTGTAGGCTGTAGTGGGGTAGCCAATATGGGGTACAACCCCAACTAGGGTTTCATATTTGTACCCAAACTTCTGCTAGTTCATCATTCTTGCCTAGTTCTTCTGACATGGTATTCAGAGCAGGAGGTCCCTAGGACCTACCGATCGTTTTTAGGGCCCACCACCGCTCGCATGCGGTTACCACGCTACCCCGTGCCCTAGCCTCGTAGCGCCCTCGTGCGCCCTCGTTAGCGCCCTCGCGCGCACCCTCGTTAGCGCCCTCGCGCGCACCCACGTTAGCGCCCTCGCGCGCCCCTTCGTTAGCGCCCTCGCGCGCCCCTTTGTTAGCGCCCTCGCGCGCCCCTTGCTAGCGCCCTCGCGCGCCCCTCACTAGCGCCCTCGCGCGCCCCTCACTAGCGCCCTCGCGCGCCCCTCGCCGAGCCGCCCGCTCGCAGCCCGCCCGCCCGCTCGCTGCCCGCTTCGCGGCCCGCTCGCTACGCAGCCCGCCCGCCCGCTCGCTGCCCGCTTCGCGGCCCGCCCGCTCCGCAGCCCGCTTGCTCGCTGCCC